GAATGTTATCGCAACTTCTCTTCCCCAGTCGACAAGCCTCGAGCTGTCAAACTGTGCACACAGCCACAGAGCACTGCCAGCTAAATCCCCACATTAGCCCACCCCAGCTGAGCTCATGGTGATGAGGTCCTTCAGGAAAAAGCAAATCATTGACAGGAGGAGCAGGAGACAAAGCAGGACCAGATAGGGAAGGGAGACGACAGACCCTGGGAATGCATCCACGAATTTGGCAGGACTTCAGAGCTGTCAGCACAAGCCTCCAGGTAGAAGTCAGGCGTTAATAGGGATTTATGGCTCAAATTGTCTCCTGTGGGTTGGAGGACACCAAGGAGCATCCTCCTGCTCTGCAGGACCCTGTGGATTCAGTCTGGTTTGAGCCGGGGACATCCTGAACCAGGGGGACTTTTCACTGTTTCACAGCAAAGAGGTGGCATTAAGCCTGACCCAGCACCCAATTGAGGCAGGAATACTTTTTTCTTCTTTTTTTTCCTTCCATCATCCTGTTAATAATAATAATAATAATAATAATAATAATAATAATAATAATAATAATAATAATAATAATAATAATAATAATAAAGCAGCTCCTCTAGCATCATGCCATGGGGATGCCACCACCGCTGCAGCATCACCCCCTGCCCAAGGCCACCGTGTTGAGCGGGGCTGGAGGGGGATGCCGTGACTTGCTGCTCAGAAACAAGAGCTGGGCGGCATCCTGCCAGCATCCACTGTGATGAATATACTGATGAAGAGATTCAGATCAATGAGCCTGACAGTTTCTACCAGCAAATGAATGGCTTTCAGTCTATGGGTTAGAGAGTTGTTAACTACCCAACCTGCTTGCTGTCATTAGCGAGCAATCTCTGCCATGCATCTGCTCACCCCACTTTATCCACCAAACCATCTCCTGCTCCCTTGTCCCTGCATCCACTTGGAGCCCTTCTCCCCCAGTCCCTCATAAACAGGCTGTGGCATCTCTACTGAGCCAGGCTGGATCTGAAGAGCGGGGAGAGTGAGGATTTCGTTCCCCTATGCCTAAGCTGCTCCTGTAATCCTGCAAGGAGGCTTGCTTTGAAGCTCTCACCCGGCTCAGCGCAGCTGGCTCACAGCCACAATTACTTCCACTCTGAGCACACACAAAAAAGCCAAGCAAGAGGCCAAGGAGTGGGTAGTTAGCCTCGAACACTGACAAGTCAATCAAAGGCAGCTGGCGCTAATTAGTCCCTGTGCCTCCCCCCCCCCCCCCCCCCCCCATCACGGCTGCCCCATTACATAGGGACAAGAAGTCTCTCTGTGGGTCAGCTAGGGCCACCCAGGAGCTGTTGGAGAGCCCAGAAGGCAGAGGAGGATTTGGGGGGGATCAAGGTATGAGAGTACAGCCCCAAATCACCACTTATGGAGCATCGATCCCACCCTTCTCGCTCCCTCCCCTTGTCATCTCCAGTGCCCTCCTTCTTTCTGTCTTCTGCAAGCATGGCCAGAGCCACCACGGGAGCCAAGGGGAAGGAGGAGACAACCCCACCGCAGTTATTTCCATTTTTCTTACTTTTCCTAAAACCAGGGAAAAAAAGACAGCCTACCAAAGGAGTCCCAGGAGCCTGCTCACGAGAAGCAGGCATTAAGCAGGGAGTCAAGAAGAAAAGTGCAGCAGAAACATTGCAGTAATATGGGATAATAACCCTGCGAATGCTGCTAGGCAGCTGAATAGTGGTATTTTCTGGAGTAGTGTGGTATTGTAGGAGAGAAATGAGTAAACAAATATTTTCATTCAGCAGCAGGGGAAGAGGGGAGGCACAGCTATTCCCCAGGGAACCGGAGAAGAGCTCCAGAGCACGAGAGTCATTAGAGGTAAGAGAGGGCAATTGCTCAAGATTATGGCACTGGCAGATACGGGCAAAGTAAGACTTGGCAAGCAGCCCCGAGCATGGCTCAGCTGTGGATCACAGCTGAGCACTGCACTGCTGTCCTCTGCCACCCCCCAAAAACCAAATCGCTGGGGTAGTGCACCCACCCTGCCAGGCCAGCTCCCATGGCTTGGAGAAGACCCCATATGGGTAGGATGGAAGCATCCACCAAAAGCCATCAGGACATCTTCTCCACTGCCGTGCACCTCATGCTTGCCACAGCCAGGATAACCTAGCACGGACTGGCCATGACACCCCAAGTCCAGACCCTACAGGGTCTGCACTAAATGCAGTTTGGGAGACTTGACTTCAAACAGCTTGTTGGAACCACTCAACTCACCACTCCTTCTCACCTTCATTTCCCACTTATAGAAACTGGTATGAGTGTTCAGTTAGGGTCAGACTGGGTTGACGGGCATCTCCTCTTGCCACCAAGTGTCCCAGAAGGAGCATATGGCAATGTGGCAAAAAAAAAAAGGAGGCAGATGTGGCAATTTGCATCTCTCCACCTAGTGGCCCTTCAAGGCAGGTCCCATCTAAATGGGTCACCCAGCACTCAGGGGTTTTAAGTCCTTCTTAACCCATATGGTCCCATGTGCTTATTCATAGTCTTCAAACCTGTATGAATGGCTAAGCACTCTTAGAGTCTGAATACAGAGTTATTAACGGTACTGAATACAGAGTTATTAGAGTGAATTATGAATTAAGGGTGGACACTGCAAGAGCCATGTCCTGGCTTTGAATAACACCTAAAACCCACAACTTCTTGCAGCTTTGGTAAAGTTTCTGGTGATGCAGCAAGGAGCAGCACTGTAAAGAGCCTGTTGACCAGATTTAATGTGCCTGCTGCATCTTTTGCGCTGCTGGTGCAGAAGGAATCACAAAGCACATTACCAGCATTCATCAGTCCAAGTCTTACAAACCCAACACAGGTAGGGAGCTGCAAACACGGCAATTTACATTCCCTCCTGAAATGCTAAGAGAAATCCAATCGAGCATTGGCAGCTACTAGCTGGAAATATTTAAGTAGCTGCCCAACACCAAGGCAGTGCCAGGGCTCAGCTGAGAGCCTCTAACCACAGCACAACATGCCCCCGAGCAGCCACACTCCAACAATTCCTCTTGGATTGCAGGTAAACTACCACCCGCAAAGAAAACACAAGGCAAATGATATCTTTGGGTGCAATGACATTGCAGACACAGCCTCGCCTGCCCATTAGCACTATCCTCTGATGGACCAGGCAGTGATTCCTCATGGCAAAGCAGTTGGCGTTAAGTATTGGTCAGCACACAATAGTCCCAACAAGAGTAATCGGGGTGACTCCATCCCCAGCTGCAACTGGGCTGGCACTGGTGATTTTAGGCTGGAGATAAATGTGGTCCCTGGAGGCTGGATTACCACCCGGGGGCTTGCAATTGATACCGGACCAAGTTGTGTTGTTCCAAATCAAGGCAAGGTTAACCTGTAATCCAGAGCACGGGCACAGGGTGAAGCCACTTTAAAGGAAGGGGTTTGTCTGCTCAGAGCATCAACCTGAACAAGCTGGAGCCTGCATGGTGTAATTTAATGGTATTTAACATCAAGGCTGCAGTTCCTATAGCTACTGAAGAAAGCTTAGCAACCCTGGGCACAGCTCCTGGGGCATGGGAGACAACCGAAGGAGGGCGCAGAGCTGCGTCACCGTCACCCATGTGTTAACCCTTTGGCCCCTACATGCCATACTGATGTGGCACTGAAAATAGATCCCATATGGGGTGTTTCTCATGAAAATACATGTATTTGGTGCTTTGTTAGTACCAGCTTGACTGTTTCCTTTTAAAAAAAAAAATAATAGCAACAAGAATCTGCCTCTGTCACTGTTCAAGGGCTATGGCAGAGTCTCCCCACCAGCCATGGGCTCCACTCGGGGCTGATTTAGTCTCCACCAAAGCCAGCAGATGGTGCATGGGTCAAGTCAGCCCCACATCTCTCTGGATGACTCTGCCCAGCAGGACTTGCCTCTCTAAGCTTAGCACAGTTTCAGGGCTAACACCAACAACGCTCTTTTTCTTCTGTGTCCCTAGGTCCTCCCAGTGCTTGGCTGACCAAGGCTGGCTTAGAAGGCTCTTCCGTCTCCCAAGAAAATGGGGACTGACAGTGAAAACCCAGTCCTGAGGAATGTGCTCATCAGCTTCAACTTGCTTCTGCTGGGTGCCATCCTCAAACCTTTCGAGTGCCGGCTGGAGGTGACAACAGAACTGGCCAAAAGGCCAGCAGTGGATGAGGACAGTGGCCTTGCCAACTGCAGCCCACCCATCAAAGAGCAGCCCATGGTCTTCCACCACATCTACAACATCAACATCCCCCTGGACAGCTGCTGCTCGTCCATGTTCAAGTCTTCAGCCGAGGAGGTGAGTTCAGAAGACGACCGGCTGACAGAGTACACGGAGCAGACCTCCGACAGTGAGAGCCAGGTCACCTTCACCCACAGGATAAACTTGCCCAAGCAGGCCTGCAAGTGCTCCACCTCCCTCCCATCCCTGCAGGAGCTGCTGAGCAGGATTGAGATGCTGGAGAGGGAGGTCTCCATGCTCCGGGACCAATGCAACTCCAATTGCTGCCAAGAAAATGCAGCCACAGGTAGTAACGCCATCCTGTTAGCTCTTGCTGGGGACTGAGGGCTCGAGCAAAAGGCAGGAGAAATAAATACAAAGCTGGTGATGCCATTCAGAGTGGCGATGGAGGAAAACCTATGTTCACCCATGGTGTGGCTGTGGCTTTAGGGAAAAAGCCCAGCTTAGGTACTCCAAGGCAGGAAAATCCCCGGGAGGGATTTGGTCACTTGAGCCCCCATGCCCTACTCGCTGCAGAAACCCAGTAACGGCCAGAGCTAAAGACCCACTACAGATAAAATTATCGCTGGTAAGGGGTGAGCAGGGTGATCTCCCATCCCTGCAGTCCTTGCAACACTGTTAGAAATCTGCCACTGTGCGTGGGACAGGGAGGAGAGACAGCTGCTGCTCTCCTAAGCTGTCCCTGGGCTGAAGGCAGCACTGCGGGAGCTGGCAATAAAACCCTTCATCTTCTCTGTAGGAGGAGTGAATGTGTATGAAAAGCTGAATTTAAAAAAAAAAAAAAATAAAAATACAGGGAATAACTTCTGTTGCCGTGAAAGATGCAAACAAAACCTATAACAAAGGCACAAAACCATCAATAGGATACTTCATCTGAATAACAATATGTGCAGTTTGTGAAAATCTCCAAGAGTCCCCATCAGGGTTACCCCATCAAAAACAGCCCCTTGTTTCACCGTGGCCATTCCTCAGAGTCAGGGAAGCAGCGTGCAGTTGAAATGAGATGGGTTAAGAAAGGTTTGGGCTCGAGGCTGCATTTTGACAGCAGGGGAGCTAGCATGCTGGTGGTTTTCCTTGCATCTCGGGGAGGTCGGTAAGAGGGGCGGTCCCGAAGGGGATCCATCCCTTGTGCAGCCCAGCCCTGCTTGGGGCTCTGACACAGCAGGGCTCCTTGCAGGAAAAAGCCACCAAGCAAGGAGAGCCACACAGGGCATCTTTCCAAGGCAAAACAGCTTTTCAGGCCAAGAACAACAACAGGGAGGAAGAAAAATTAAAAGCAATCCTTTCCCCCCCCAACACCCACTGCCTCTTTTTAAGTTTTGCAGCTATTTGGAGTGTGATTTTTCTGGTGGTACTCCAGCTCCTCTATATTGAGGACACATTAAAATGAAATGGGAGCGACTCACACTCAGGTCAACAGAGTTGAACCAAGGGTGTGTGGGTTGGGAAGGGAGAAACCGGGATGGCACACACAGCAGGGTGGCTCGGGCTGACATCTCCTGTGCAGCTGGTGGAAGTCAATGCGTTTCCAGCCACAGGCTCAGCCTGCATCCCCCTGCCAATGCAACAGTCATCAGCTGTGTTAAAAAAAGACAAAATGGAAAACACCCACACATGCCACTGGTGTGTGCAAAGCAAAGGTTAAAATCATGTAGGAAACACAATGGGAAAAACCTGTTTTAAAGGAATTAATCTGAAACTCTGATGGGCCTATTTGGGTTACTTGCAACACACTCAGACAGTCCAATTAAACATTCATCGCCTGGTGGAGTCTCCATTCTGATTGCAGATGCTCTGAGCTAAAACTGGAGTAATTTCATTTATTTTTACCAGAGTTGCTTTCAATTCACTGCACCACAGAGGAGATCAGGGTCCCTACCCCACTGCCCAAGGCATTTCCCTAAGGAAAGCTGCTCTCTTCCAGCACACTTACAAGCATCCTCTCTCCTCTTTTGATAAGTTAACTAGAGGCTGAGTTCTGAAGAGAACCTGATCGCCATTCCCAGTATTTGCCATTTAGATGGGAAGCATCCTGCAAAGTAACCCAGATGGGTCTGTCTGGCATAGCATGTGTAACTGAACGCCTTTTACATGAGCGTCTGCTGCACCCACCATAGGAAGAGCTGCTCAGGTAGCTCAGCTAGGATGGAAAACTTAGCTGGGGGACAAAAAGTCCTGTGGCTTGGAGTCTTCATGGTGCAGAGGTTTCCCAAGGGTTGGAGGAAGCACAGAAAGGATTTCTGTTCTTCCTCAGTTCATAGCCCTAAGCTGGAGCTGTGAGTCCATGTTGAGGGGCAAAAGAGGGGAGCATTGGCAATGTCAGAGTGACTGGTGCCTTTGTCCCCCTGCATCCCTCCTCGCCCCAGAGCATCCTGTGCAAGGCAAGCCGTCGAGGTGGTGGCCATGTGCTTTCCCCGCTTTCCCACAACCCCAGCATGCCCAAACCTGTGATACTTTGTGCAAAGCCAACAGCTCTGTCTTAATCAGGCTCACCAGGACAGGGACGAAGATGATGTCTTTGGGTACATACCTGTTTCCTGTAGGAGAGAGAGCAAGCAGACTGGGACCTCTCACCTGTAAAATGGAACAGTGGGTGGAGAGGAGACAACTGGAGTCATGGCTGGTGCAGAGAGCTTGGCCAAGGAAGGTTTTTCCCCAGTAAGAGGTCTAGGGAGGTTCCCATCGACTGAGTGCTGAGCTGAAGTAAAACCAAAGGGAGCACTTTCACCCCAAACAAGGCTGATGGCAGCCATAGCCATGGAGGCCAGCACTCCCGAAGGGACAGACAAACTCCTGGGGACCCACCTAAGCCCCACCATGAGCCCATATCACCAATTCTGCCCCTGCCAGCCCTAAAGCCACCAGCTTCCTGGAGCTGGACGTGCTCAACCAGAGGGAGGACCATTCCCTACTTGCCCCACATCTTGCCCCCTTTCCCCACAGCACATCATTGACAGGCTGACCTTTTTCCACTTCCCACCCAGTGGGCTCTGACCCTCGGTCCCACATCCTTGCAGGGCAGCTGGATTACACCCCGCAGTGCAGCGGCCACGGGAACTTCAGCCTGGAGTCGTGCAGCTGTGTGTGCATGGAGGGCTGGGCAGGCAGCAACTGCTCTGAGCCCCGCTGCCCCCGGGGCTGCTCCAGCCGCGGCGTCTGCCTGGAGGGCCAGTGCATCTGTGACAATGACTACGGGGGCGAGGACTGCTCCCAGCTCCGCTGCCCCGCCGGCTGCGGCTCCCGCGGGCTCTGCGTGGATGGCGAGTGTGTCTGCGAGGAGGGTTTTGCCGGGGATGACTGCTCCCAGCTGCGGTGTCCCCGCGACTGCTCGGGGAAGGGCCACTGCGCCAATGGCACATGCATCTGCCAGGAGGGCTACGCCGGGGAGGACTGTGGGTGGCTGCACTGCCCCAACGCCTGCAGTGGCCGTGGGGTCTGCCAGGACGGTCTCTGCATCTGCGAGGAAGGCTACGAAGGGCAGGACTGCTCAGCAGGTAGTGGGGGGCATGCATGGGGAGAGACAGACCCTAATGTATGAGTAAGGGCTTCAAGGTGCCCAGAGCCCCATAGGAGCACCACGAAGCCTGGGAGAAACCCATACCTGGCAGAGCATGTCATATAGGACCTGCTCAAGTCCCACAGTTTGACTGTCTCCCTGTTATCCCTGTCCCCAGAGCTGTCATGGGCAAAAGTTTGGGAGGTGAGCAAAAAACCAGCGACATTCATCCCAACGTCGGTGGTAAACCCTTGGTGCAACAGAAGCTGCAGTCAGGTTCTCCTGAGCCTTTGCCTTGCTATAGCATTTAATACAACCACAGATAGCACATAACCCCCAGCCCAAAGCCTGTACCCGTGTCCCACCAGCAGACCCATGCAGCCTTCCCCACAGCTGGGCAGGAGAATAAGCCACACACACCCTGATGCTCTCCTTACCTCTGCCCTTCCCATTAGTGGCTCCTCCTGAAAACCTGCGAGTGATGGGGATCACAGACAGCTCCATCGAGCTGGTGTGGGACAGCCCTGGGGAAACCACCGAGTATGTCGTCTCGTACCAGCCAGTGGGGCCAGGGGGCACCCAGCTCCAGCAGCGGGTGCCAGGGGACTGGAGCAGCATCACCATCACGGAGCTGGAGCCAGGCGTTGCCTACAACATCAGCATCTACGCAGTCATTGGCGACGTCTTGAGTATCCCTGTTACCTCCAAGGTGATGACCAGTAAGTATCCTACTGCACTTGTCGCTTGATACCCAGATAACCAGAGGTGATGCTCAAGCTGGCTCATATTTTCCAGAGGTGATGCTCAAGCTGGCTCACATTTTCCATAAAAACCTTCTAGCAGCAGAAAATAGAGCCTTCAAAAAGAAAATATTGGGGATATTTTTATCCCCATTTATATCTGTATGGGGATATAGGAAAGGGGAAAATATGTCCACTCTCTGCATAAAGACTCAGTCTGGGTGAAAACCCAAATGACTGAAAATCAAAGAAACTTTCAGTGTTTGATTGAAGCCCCCAGAATATGGCTCGAAATACCTTACACTTTTTTCCTCATAGAAAATATTGCGATATATCACGGAAGTCACAGGTTCTCCTCCCACTCCTGGATGGGTTCATGAATCCCAATGACACGGGCGATAGTGCAGCAAGAGGGGATGCTGCTGTGCATCAGGACATATGTAGTCCTGCCCGGGACCATGATGCACAAAGGAAAACAAGAGTATCAAGCTGTAATGGCAACCTCCTGAAAGGATCCTCAGAAACCAAAGATACAGAGGGCAGGGGAAAACATAAACTATCCAGAGACCCCTTTTGTAACTCCATCACTCTGCATGGTGCAGTTAGGTGCAATGCAAAGGGTTGCCGTGGTGTTCAGCAGCCCAGACATTTCCCTTCTCTCCCTCTAACCCACCTGGAGTGGGGACAAATGGGCAATGACTCTGCTAACAGCTACCAGAAGGGTCCCATTTTCATTGTCCAGATAATGAAATAGCTGCAGGGAGCAGGGTGTGGGAAGGCGGCACACACACCCCCATCCTGCTCTGCTCACCACCCCCTGCTCCCTTCCAGACCTCGCCACACCACAGGGGCTGAAGTTCAAGACCATCACAGAGACGACAGCAGAGGTGCAGTGGGAGCCCTTCTCCTTCCCTTTCGATGGCTGGGAGATCAGCTTCATCCCCAAGGTACTGCCGCCACACGCCTGGCATCGTGGGCTACACCCAGTCACCCTAAAAACACTGAGTGAGCGGATCCTAAATTAGCTTCCAACTATGTCCCCTCCCCCAAAAACAACCTCTGTTTGCAATTTGTGTGCTTTACATCAGACAACCCCAAATACCTCAACCTCAAATTGCCAGCTTGCATTTCCCAGTAGTCTTTGGTGTCAAGACATATGTGTCCTCAAAGAAATTCCCCAATAAAAATCAAGAGATGAACATACAAATAAGTAAACCTTCCAGCCTCATGGCCTTTTGCTGCCACCCCCTCTTCTTCCCTTCCATCTCCTTTGCTGTGATCCTTCCTCCTCCTCCTGTTTCTCGCCCCTTCTCTCTGCACGCTAAGCAACCCAAAGCAGCCCGGATCAAACTGAGCAGCCACCAGCTCTCAGACAACAACCTTCAGCATCTCCGAGTCACATGCATAGCTAATTCCTGCCATGGAATTTTAATCACAGTGATGAACAGGTAGAATTTGTGCCAGAAAAGATGAAAGGATGAAAATGTTGCCCTAAATATCGCATATTTTCTATGCACGGCAACAAAAATTGTACATCAAGTATTTCATCTATATTCATAATTTCTACACCATTTAGCTATAAGTATAGCTTTAATTGTATATGGAGCCTCTTTACAAGAGCTTTCAAGCCCCAGCAGTAAAAGAAATGCTGATTAAGGGCTCAATTATGCCATTTTCACTTGTACAAAACCCTCACTGGAGTCAAAGGCAGCTCTGGGCAGTGGAGAACTGCAGAATTTGGCCCCAAAGTTTTAAATGCTCTTAACCGTAAAGTATCATTACACAGCACGAAGCAAGGGCCCGATTGCTTAAATAACTCATTCCCGCACTTCCAAAAAGGCTGGAAAGACCTGGGTGCAATTTTGGGTACATCCATACACAAATTGTTTCGGAAGTCTAAGTTTAGGTACTGCAGGTATAAACCCCAGGGTAATTTTCATTCACCGTCGGGATAAAAGCCAAAACAATAAGGCAATGTCAGGGAGGAGCTTTTGGTAGCAAAAAATAGCTATCTTTCAAACATTTCACTGATACTCAGGAATTAAGCTCAACAGCATCCCCCTGAAGCAGATAAATAGGGATATATCCATTTTAGGGTGAGGAATTGCTGGGATAGAAGCAAACTTCTCCTCACAGGGTCATCACTGGTAGGTTTTTCTTACCGATAAACATAAACTGTTGGCCTCGTTTCTGTTTTTAAACTTAAAACCATGCAAAAACATTTCAGGATTTAAAGGAAGAGATAAAGCGCAAAAGGACAGCTGTTCCTGGATGCAAGTTGTTGGGGCGGAGAAGGGATGTGGCTCACAGGGCTTTGAAGTTCTCGCATCTGTCGGTCAAGCACATGATCCTGCACCACAAAGATACAGTCGTGCTCCCACCTGTCCGCTGCCGAACTTGGACCCTCCCAATTCTCCATCACCAGCTTTTCTCCTAAAATAAGGCATAGGGTGCTGTCTCCTTTAATGCCTGGGAGCCACGCTCACTCGAGCAAACGCTAAACCATCACCACACCCCAAATAAAGCCAAAACCTAGTCCAAGAGGCCGCAACATCAAAGAAAGAGAGTTATAACAACAGCATCACAAATAACCTCTATGAGCAAAATTGAGCTTGCTTTGTCTTCCTGAAAACCAGGCAAGGGGATGCTAATTTGGTCCTTGGCGTCCCCACAAGGATGCTCGCACCCTCCCACAGAGAAATCCTCCTTCCGTTGTCCCGGCGAAGCTCTTGCCCCCAAAAGTGGGGTCAGGCAGGGATTGCCCATCTGCTGTGTGCGCTGGAGGCGGGGGGGAAGATGAAGCAAAGAGATTTAGAAAAGAAAATTAGGAAAGGTAAGCTGGCAATTTATGGCTAAAAGGGAAGATTTCCTGTTTAATGAGAAAAGAGATGAATATGAATTGAGAGCTATGTGCAAAGATTTGTTTAGCGTGTTATTAGTGAAGACAGCGGCAAGAAAAGATCCTTTGTCCAAACACTGGCAGGAAAGGTGACATTTGCAGTTGCTTAAAGCCTTACAGTTTTTCAGAGCAAAACCGCAAAGTATAATGAGTTTAATAAAGATACTTAAAAAGTAGGAGATGGCAAAATAAAGACCTTACAGTTTCATACCTATATATGAACAGCAGAAGGCTCCTGGCACCTGAATAGCAGGGAAAAGGAGTCCAGCCCAGGCTCTGGTTTTATTATCTTTTCTCTTCTGGAGAACAGGAGACACACAGATGGCAAAATACAGAAGTGGAGGGGGGGGAAGAAGGGATGGGGGAGGATTTCTCAGCCCAGCAACGTGGGTGCTCCACGCTTGGTGGGTGACTTCACCCTGGGTTTCTGCACCTCCATGGTGGGATGTGCCAGGGCAAGGATGTGACTTGGGGGTGCAGGGCTGTGCGTGGAAGGATGTGATGTGGGGGCACCTCCCCTCCATGGATCAGTCCCCCCAAACCACCTTTTTTTTGCTTTTTAATGGTTATTTCCACTCTCCGACAGAACAACGAGGGTGGCGTGATCGCCCAGCTCCCCAGCACTGTCACCACCTTCAACCAGACAGGGCTGAAGCCAGGGGAAGAGTACACTGTCACCGTGGTGGCCCTGAAGGAACAAGCCAGGAGCCCTCCCACCTCCGACAGCGTCTCAACACGTGAGTGAGCCCAGCCCTGGGCAGCATGGCAGTGTCCAGGGCTTGGTCCCCAAAATAAGGTCCCAGCAGTGAGAGTGGCCCAGCACTGCGTGGGCAGGGATAAAACTAGCACCACCTAACTGCCCAAGCTACAGGTGCATTGCAGCAACAGCTTCTTCCTGCAGTATTTTGTCCCTCTCCCTCCCAAATTGCTGCGAGCACAGAAACCATGCGAGGTTAATGGCATTGGGAGTGAAGGCTCAGGTCTGCTTGTATTACATAGCTGGATAAATTCCTCTTCTCTGCTAATTTCAGAGGCTGGATGCCCCCAAGAAACATCTCTATAAATGTATTGCCTACTCATATATAACAGATTAAAACTCCCACCTGCTTCTGTGCCACTAAATGACCTCTACTCCCACCAATTCAGGCAAATCAGGCAGCAGGGCAGGGAGCCAGGAGCAACAGCACATCCCCTCCTAACCAATTTATTCAGCCGGTCACTGGTCCATCCCATAGGCTAGAGGAAATTCAGCTGGGTCGTCTTCTCCTCACCAAAGGAGATGTGGCGATGGGCAAAGCTCACTGGGGAGAAGAGGCTCTCCATGCCAGATCTGCTGCAGTCTGCCTTGGCAGCCAGGCAGACATCTACCTCCATTCAAGCTGTTGCAAACGGAAACAGCATTTAAATAGCTGCCAGAGGGTTATAATGAGGTGGTGCTCTCTCCAGGCTGCTAATTGGAGGCAACAGTGAGAGTGAAGGGAGGGTCCCTCCACCAGCTTGCTGCAGGTCTGAGATTCCTCAGCACAGTCCTCTCCTGCTTTGCCTCCACGTTCAGCTCGACATGGCTTAACAGAGACATCTCCTGGTCAAGCCCAAATCTTCCTTTCCCTAGGAAGCCAGCAAAAAATAAAAAGGGAGGCTGGTGCTTGAAACTCAGTGGTTGACCTTTGCAGGGGAGCGCAGATGGAGTGGTGGCTCCCAGCGCTCTGCTCTGTGAAGGTGTCCCTGTGCTGGCATGTCTGCTTTCCTCTGTGGCACCCCTATAGTTTTGCACCCATCATGCTCATTCTGCCTCAATACCTTGTGCCGAGACTGAGCAGCAAAGGCATGGTTTCGTGCTGCACAGCTAAGCAGAACTTGATGCTCCCCAGCGTAACCTGGATGGCTGGACAACACGAGGTAGCTGGAGATTCAGGGTTTGGATAAGCTTGACCTGGTCCTGGCCAAGACGGACACCCAGCTCCTACCTAAACACCCTGCTTCCCAGCTGTCCTCCCTTCTCCGTTACTGTTTTGCCCCCAGACCTCACCCCACTGTTCCCAATTCCCCCACATGTCTTTTTCTAACCCTTCCTGGTCCTTCCCACCCCTGCCCACACACTTCTCCCCCAGAATTTCCCACCCTGGGGTGCAGCATTCAGCACATCCTTATTAGTGTCATTTTCTAATATATACAATATATGTACTTGCATGCAGTACAGCCTGAATTACAGAACCAGCGTGGGTTTTTTCACCCACCTTGTGATCCTGTAAGTGATAAAACAGGCTGCCCAGCAAGGTCCGTGCATCAACACTGCCATGGCACAGGAGCAATGCCCAGGTTTGGCCCGTCCGTCCATTCATGCAGCCATTAGGTCCTGCTGGACTCAAAGCATCCATCACCCAGGCTTGAGCCCATGATTTCCAGAGGTCGAGTGTTGGGGGATGCAGAGGAAGGAAGGGCCCAATTCTCTGGAAAAGAAAGCAGAAATGTCCCAAATGGTCTCCCAGTAGATCCTTGGTATGAATTTATCTAAAAACCCTTTATCTGAGAGGGTTTGGTGGACACCCACTGTAGCCCCACACCCAGCTAGTTATGAAGACTCATCAGAGCAGTTGCATTTTCTCCTCTCTCCCCACTGCTAAGACATCAACAGCTTTACAAGCTGATCCCTCAGCTTAACGACAAACCAGGAGCTGGCACCGAAGCAGGAACATTTCTAGAGACGTTCCTCAGTTCTCAATGCTTGGATAAGTCCTTGGCCCCATGTTATTTAACACATTGTCAACGCCTTTCAAAAGACATACTATTGTTGCTGATAAATTTTGCCAGTGATGAAAAGGCTCGGAAAAGAGTAAATTGAGTGGAAGGAGATAATCGATAAAAGCAGTTTGAATGGCTCGAAGAGCTGGACACAAAGGAAAACTGTATGTTTTTCAATGCATCACAAAGTACGAGCAGTTATCTAGGAGCAAAGAAAGTGGACCGCAGTTAGACGTAGGAGGTTTTATCCCAGGAAACGCCACCTGAACAAGCCAGGGAGGAATTGTTGCCGATAACCAGCTCAAGAGAAGGGCATGAGTTGCATTATAGCTGTACTGGGCATGGATGGGAGAGCTGCTGGGTCCTGCTCCAGTGTCCACAGCTCAGGAGAGACATCGGTGGAGAGGGTTCAGAAAAGAGGCAGGAGATTGGAGCAAGGGACTGGGAATCCACCAGGACCAAACCCCCTGAGTTCCTTGGGGCAGGGGGTTATGTCTCTTGCTCATGCCACCTCTCTGCCTTGTCCCTGGCTGCTAATTCAGGCCACTCTGAAGGTCAGGTTGAACCATCTGAAGCTTGGTGTTCCCAAAGCTGCCACCTTTCCCCATCCAACTCTCCCAAAATAACAGTTGCCCGTTTCCCCCCTTCCTCTGCAGTCATTGACGGCCCGACGCAGATCCTGGTGCGGGACGTCTCCGACACGGTGGCCTTCGTGGAGTGGACGCCGCCGCGTGCCAAGGTGGACACCATCCTGCTGACGGACGGGCGTG